AGGGGTTTCGGGGTTTAGGGTTTTGCGTGTTCCAGTCGTTGACATGAGTGCCAAATGCTCCCGCATTACTATGATGTCCATACCACTAGTATAACACTTCTGTGAGCTTTTGCCCGACGGTAAAGCCAGACTTGATAGCCATTAGCTTCCTGTCCCTGAACCTCAGAAGGAGAAGCCTTGTCAGAATACCTGGTCTGCGGCCTTTGCTAGAAGCTATCTGCGCACTTTAACTGCTTGAACGAGTGCACTGCTACTGCTGGGCTTTGGTCTGCCCGCGCTTTTTCAACTCCATTTGTCCCAGTCAACCATCTTCACGAACTCCTTGTTGTCCTGTGTACTTGGTGTACTTCCGAGCACTGTGCTTAACCCAAGGAGCATTCTTCACAACTGCTTCTTCCTAAGACTACCACTGTTTTGCAAAGCCACCAATGCGCTCGAACTGCTGTAAGTAACATACAGACCCCAAACCAGCTTCCCTTTGTCTGCTTTTGCCCGAAGAGCCGTGATTCAAATGGGAAGTCTCTCAACCCTAACCCCGTAAACCCAAACCCCTATACCCTAAACCCTGTAACCCTAAACGCTAATAAAGGGTCTCTACATCTTCAAGAATAGGGACCTCCCTCCACGGAGTCCTTGGGGCTACCCCTGTTTGGACAGACATACGCACACAAAGTGGAAGGACATTGGGGGCTTCATACGGTTGGGGGATATACGCGGGGAACCCTGCTTTGGGAGATACCCAAACCAGCCAGGCAAATCTTTGAACGCCACGGCCCTTGAACTTGAATCCCAAACCCCCAGTCTTCTTCTCTAAGGTTAGAAGTATGGGCCCCTAATATGGGCCCTGAGGCCTTTTAGGGGGATTCTAGGGTACATATAGGGTATATAGTAGGTATATAAGGGTCCCAGGGTTAGCGGCCCACAAAAGGGGCCCATGGTTTCAAACTTAGACCTTCTCGAAGGAGAGCACATCCAGTGATCCACAAAATGTTGGTGTTGCTAGCTTCTTGCACACTTTGGGTCCCAGGCCTAAACTTCTACCCTAAACCCTAAACCATGTTCCGCTAAGGTCTGGCAAACCCATCATGCGCATTGCACAGACTGTGCCTGACTTATTTGCGCCTCGACCTTCTTCTTGTCTGAATCCGAAAGAGGATATGGGTAGTTCCCAAAATTAGGATCCCATTTTGGTACCCCTACATATTATTAGGTGCCGAAATATACTCTATAACCAAAAGGGGCCCATACTTAATATAGACTGTTACTGGGAGGGGGCAGTACCCAAAACATACCCATGCAGCACATTGACTTCCGCCAATCCACCGCGCCTTTGCCTCCTGCTGTGGTGTACAGCTCTCTACCTACAGGTCATGAAGCCGCACGGATGAACAGATCCCAAGCCCTAAACCCTAAACCATCCTGTTAGACGAGGTTCGAAAGAAAGTCTGCTTGTGAGCTATACAAACAACTGCGAACCATCCTGCAATCCTAGGATCGAGCTATACACTACCTTCCTGATAGTAAACTCTATATAACCCACTATAGTAGTTTCCATTTTCTTTTCATTCCTTCCTTCCCAGCTAACCTGAAGTAAGATAAGTGATGTTGCTGTCTGGGAAGTTGTTCCTGTCATGAAGTCAGCAGAATTCTGTCCTGAGAACTCTGCGGTATGCCAAGTAAGCTGGCATGTAGTTGTCGACGAAGCGCCTGACCTCGTCCGCATCCATGCCAGATCCTGGCACCAGGCCTTGATAATACTGTATGGACTATTGCTGTATTACTCTGCTCTATTATTGTATTACTATATTACTATCTTACTAGCTTCGTGCTTTAGGTCTTAGGGTTTGCAGGGCTTGGCTTTTAGGTCTTAGAGCTTAGAGGGCGTTAGGGTTTAGGATTCAAATGCTTTCCCTGATCTCAAGGTACGTAGTAACGTAATAGAAACAAGAGGAAGATAAATGACAACGCGCACGCTACGAACATTGCTTTTTATCCTTGCGCCCTCAACCCCGGCAAAATGAAGAGCGTTCGATTTGGAAAGCCGCTCCGCATGGCCCCCGGCAAAAGCATGGAAAGCTGTTAGAAAACTTGTGTCAGCTTACTTGCTTGAGGTGTTTTGTGACCCCCGAACCCTCAACCTTGAACCCTAACTCTGGACCCAGACTGTTGATGTCCAAAACCGCACAAAACTGAAGCCTAAGCCCTAAATCCTAAACTCTAAACCCTGAACCCTAAATTCAACCCTGAATCCAAAAAAATCCTAAACCCAACACCCTAAACCCCTAAACCCGTAAACCCGTAAACCCTAAACCCTAAAATCCCTCTCCATGAGTAAGCTGCCCCACCCGCACTCCTTGAGTCTTCTTCATTGCGGCCTCCGCCTGCTGACGCCAGACATAGACCTGGCAGGACTTCTTCTTACGGGTTCTTGGTAGGGGATAAGGGGATCTATTAGGGTTTAGGGTTTTAGGGTTGAAGGTTTAGAGTTTAGGGTTAGGGTTTAGGGTTTTGGGTTAGGGTTTAGGGTTTAAGGTTTAGGGTTTTAGGGTTAGGGTTTAGTTTTTTTTTTATATTTAAACCCCTCGGACTTTTACATCTGCGTCCAGGCGCAAGGGGTCTGATGCCCTTTTAGGGTTTAGGGCTAAGGGTTTCTTAGCATGGGATAAGGATTGGAAAAGAAAATGGACACTACTGCATGATAATAGTGTACATATTGGGGTTCTTAGTAGGGAATAAGTAAGGGCAGATGGTCTCTACGTAATCCCTATACAATGTATTCCTTTTTCCCTACTGGCCCCCCAAGTCTTGAGTCTTAAAGGGATTCTATCGGAATTATATTCCTTTGTTCCCTACTGAGGACCTGTAAGTTCTTGCCTTCACACTGCCTCTTGCTGCGAAGGCTGTGTATGAGGAACACTGAAAGCAACTCCTTAGGGATGTGTGCAGGTACTGCGTATGTCTAAGAGTGCATTCAGACTATAGCGCATGGACATGCACAAAACACATGCAATTGACCTACATCCTTGCAAAGCTTATTATTACTCTTACTACCATTATTCCTACTATTCTTAGTACTGCAATTATTGCCTCTCTTCCCGAATAACTAGGGCTAAACAAGTTTAGACTTTCTAGTAGAGACCCAAAAAGGAAGCCCAAAAAGCTTAAAGTTCTTCTATTGGCTAAATAAGTTGCTATTACTACTATGCTGATGCCTGATCAATGTCTTCCACTGCAAGGACGCAGAAGGAATCGACGAGGTCGTCCCAAGCCTCACAGGCCCGTCAAGACTTGATTAGGGTTAATGATTCAGGGTCAAGGGTTTAGGATTTGGGGTTTAGGCTTTAGGGCTTAAGGTCTTGGGTTTAGGATTTAGGGTTTAGGGATTTAGGGTTTAGGGTCTAGGGTTTAAGGTCTTGGGTTTAGGATTTAGGGTTTAGGATGTAGGGATTTGAGCACAGCGGCTCTGAAATGTGGATAGCTACATCTGGGCAACCACCCGCCCATTGCATGAAGTCACGCCCCCCCTGAACCCTGAACCCTAAATCCTAAACCTTAAATCCTAAACCCTTAACCCTGAACCCTAAATCCTAAACCCTCAACCCTAAACCCTAAATCCTAACCCCTCAGCCCTACATCTTAAACTCTTGAACCCCTACACCTTAAACATTCATACTGAAAGGCCTGCCTGGTAGCCCTTCAGCTTTTCGTTGACCAGTCGGAGGCCAGGATGGATGTCGGCGGCCGCCTTTCCCCCGAAACGGAGCTTGATGTGAAAGAATTATAGGGATGATCTGAAAGATAGGAACTACATAGGGATGATACAGGGATTATATGGGGGTTATATAGGGATTATATAAGGATTATATGGGGATTTCGAAGGAGTATACAAGGATTATGTAGCGATAGTGGAAAAGAAAATGGCAACTACCATCTAGAGTTTAGGGTTTTGATGTTAAAGAAACCTAAAATTGAGTTTTTAGAACAAGGGTATAGGCTTCCCAAAATGGAGCTTTCTGAAAATCGTGGAAGCCTTAAACCTCTTACAGCCCTAAACTCCAAACCCTAAACCCCTCAACCCTGAACCCTAAACCTTGGGTACTGCCCCCCCCCTCAGTAACAGTTGGATAATAACTATTAGATGGTTATATATAGCTCTCTCGTATAGGACCCCTAAGATAGACTGTTACTGAGTGGGGGCAGTACCCAAACTAAACCCTATGTCATTGTCAGCTCCATGGATGAACCGAATATGCTCAGAAACTCCTAAATGGTAGTTTCCCAAAATCAGGGAACCCCAATATAGACCCCAAAATACTATAATCCTTATTATTGGGGACCGCCCCCCCCAAATGGTACCAATTTTGGGAAACGCTTAAATCTCTCTCAAAAGGCTTTGCTGCAAGAATGACTTTCTTCGACCTTTTTAACAGGTACTTGGACCAAGCTTTGAACCTTTTCAAAAGAGGGTCTAGGGTTTAGGGTTCAGGGTAGCCACTTAGGGTTTAGGGTTTGGGGTTTAGGGTTTAAGGTTTAGGGTGTGTGTCACAGGCGTTTAGGGTTTAGCGACGTTTTCTTCTCCTCCAAGGACACCAGGCATTTACTCTCACTAAGATTCCCGAAGCAACACTCTCTACGCTCACCAAGCTAATCATGCAGAAGCATACCCACACCCACTATGTCCTATGTAATCCCTTTCTAAAGTCCTCTGAGCTAACCCCCCCCAAAACCCCATTAGTATTACCATTATCACTATTAAAAATATTCTTACTACCTAAAGCCACAAAGTAGGTAAAATAATGGCCCAAAAACCCCTAAATATAGCCCAAAAGGCAATTATTCTACATACTTTGGGGGTCCAGGTAGCCCTAAACCCTAAACCCCTAAACCCTAAACCCTAAACCCCTAAACCCTAAATCCTAAACCCTAAACCCCTAAACCCTAAACATGTATAACTATGTCCCCTCTTCAATGGCTAAGGCACCTCGGGGTTCACCAGCGGCTTGAAGCCTAACATCCTGGAGAAGACGCCCAGCAGAGTAGCCACGAGAATGGGGATTTCTGGGCTTTTTGGGGTTTAGGGTTTTAGGGTTTAGGGTTTTAATGTTTAGGGTTTAGGTTTTTAGGGTTTTAGGGAATATAATCCCTATCTACCCATATTCCCTACTTACCCCCAGTAAGTCAAAGTCGGGTACTCAGGGTACTGACAGCGGTACAAGCCCAAAGCTAATTTTCAATATGCCCTAAACCCTAAACAACATAGTAGTAATTTCCATTTCTTTTTCCATTATCCCAATGTACCCCCTATATATCTATATATATGTATACCCCCTTATAATCCTAACATATACCCTATTATAGTAGTCTCCATTTTCTCTTCCAGTGACAACAATGAAGTTGGTGACACCACCTTCTCGCACATGACAATCTAAGAAGAAGCGTGAGACGACCGCAGCAAAGGAGAAGCAAGAGTGTAAAGATGTACCATGAGGCCAAGTAGCCCCTTCATAACCCCTATAGAGTCCCCTATAGAATTCCTTATATAAACCCTTTAAGGAGTTTAGAACCTAAATCCTAAACCCTAAACCCCCTGTACATAACCCCCTTTTATCAAAGAGTAACTAGACTATAGCTCATATTGGAAGGGCAGGAGCTCCTGATAAAACGCAATGATAGGAGTACAACCATGATTGGCCACTGAGGGAAGATGCTTATAGTCCCCCTTAAGTAGATAGAATATGGGGTATATTGGGATCTCATTATAACGTACCCAAAGCCATATTCTATCTACTTAAGGGGACCATAACAAATTTACCACATGTATAGTTGCTAACAATCATGCCCGCCTCATGTAGGCCCTATACGTGTATCATTTTACTGCGAACACTTGTTGCTCCCTCACAAACTCGCAAAATCTTGCCAAACGCTTGGCCGAAACCTTTCGGAAACCTGGAAACCTACATCTCAAACCGATTTCAAAACCTAAGCACTAAGGCCTATTCAAACCCTACAATCCTACTAAACTCTCCCTGAACCTCTACTAGCTGAGCTCTAGTCTAAACTTAAAGGGGGTTATATAAGGGATTGTATAGGAGACGGCTCTAGGGGGGATTAAGGGAGATACTAGGAGTTTAGACTATAGCCCATAGGGAGGGGATTCCCAAAATTAGGGGTACCTGTTTGAGGGTCCCCATTATAAGAATTGTAGTATTTTGGGATCTACAGTGGGGTCCCCCTAATTGAACCCTAAACCCTAAA